GGCCAGTATTACATATATATACACAGAAATGTTTAGGGTGTGTGTGTGTATGTATATGTATGTATATGTATATGTGTATATATATATATAGATGGATGGATGGATATATATGGAATATATGTTGATGTGGTATAAATGTTCTCTCTCTGAGAGTTTGGAACAGCAGCTTTATTCATGAGTTGCAGAGCCAAGAGTAAATTATATCTGTAAAGAAGCCTTATTAATTAGCATGAGTCCAGTTTTACAGGGTTCAGAGGGAGCTATAAATGCCTCTTTAAAATGACCTAAAATGCTTTTCTTTTAAACTCAGATATGTTTTACTAGTATGACAAAGTCATTTCTTCTATCTACATAGCTAACTGCACACATTTCCTCCTCAAAACAGACAGGAATCGTTAAAATGTTTTTGATAATGTATACACAATTAAAAATGAACTGTAATTCTTTACAACGCAATCCCTGTAAGTAATATAATTGACACACAGTTAAAACCCGTGGGTAAGTCAGACTGAAGTGTTTCATGACATGGCTAATAGAGAATGTTATTAACGTTTTATGAATGTGTTAAAACAGATCATGCAAACAAGCAAAAATTATATCACTGGAGACCAATTAGTCTCTTGATCTGACAGACTGACTCCTATGCTGATCATTATGATGACAACATCTGTATATGTATTTTTCTGTGTGTATGATGTGTTAAGAGCTTACTTTTCTTATGTTTGATAAACGGCCTAAAGCAGTCACACGGGGGAGGGGGGGTGTCCTTGTACTAGTGCTGTTCATTAGGATCATGATACATTTTGCATATCATTTAGAAATGCTAATAGAAGTTGCTGAGGGATGGAGAGGGGTTTTATTTCTCTGGTTTATATCACACTACAAGGAATTAAGAAATGAAATGTCTAGATCTGTGCTAAACAAATTGGATTGCCAATTTATTTGTGGATATTGATTTATTTGTAAAAGTGCAGGTTGGCTTCTTGTGAGTAGAGAACTGCGATAATGAGAGAGGCCATCGTCAATAGGAAAAGCTTCATTAAAAGCCATCTTATTAAGCCACTTGCTTCAGTAATTTTTTAGGCACTAAATTTGGATCTGCTTGTGCTTTCATGTACAGTGAAATTAAACTGAAGAAGAGAATTAGCTCATTATCCTTTTCTGTTTTTCAGGCTGAAATAATTGGGTTTAACACACACACATTTCGTTGACATAATTTAGTTAAAATCACTATAACATACATGTTTTTTCATTTTATCTTCTAGTATGCAGTTGAGCTAGATAAAATTGTGTGTCTGCCCTTCTCAGAATGGTAAAACAGGTAATTTTTTTTAAAAAGAAAAATTAGTAAGACATTCTCTAGTTCCATCTACAGCAACCTGTTTTACTGGGCCACAGAACCTAGAAGCTTTGATGCGGAATTTAGGTCAGACTAGTCACCTGGTACATGGGACATTGGTGGTTATTTAAAAAAAGCTCTGTTTTGGACCCCAATGGAAACTTGCCCCTCTTTGTGTTTTACCTGAAAGTTGTGACCATGCAGCATCTGTGATAACACAAAAAGAAAAGGAGTACTTGTGGCACCTTAGAGACTAACCAATTTATTTGAGCATGAGCTTTCGTGAGCTACAGCTCACTTCATCGGATGCATACTGTGGAAACTGCAGAAGACATTATATACACAGAGACCATGAAACAATACCTCCTCCCACCCCACTCTCCTGCTGGTAATAGCTTATCTAAAGTGATCACACATGCACTCAGATTTAAACATCGTGGAGCTGCAGGCAAGGTATTCCCAGTCACAGGCCCTCAGCTACACACCTCAACTAATCCACTGCACTAGTCTGATAGTGCATGATTATGCTGACATCCAAGATTCATGCAGGCTTTTTCCTCGGGGGTAAAAAAGAAAAGGAGTAGATAATCTTACGGTTGTGGGGATTTTGAGGCTATGCTTTTCAAAGATATGAAAGGGTGCCTTATATATTTGGAATGGATAACTTTCAATGGTGCCAAAAAGAGCGATTAAATATGAGTGCTGCATAGTCTTCTGTACAGAATGGGAGAAGATGGCTCACATTTCAGCCACTTTATCTTTCAGTGAAAACTAGGTGGGGACAAAGTTAAGGGACCACCCTCTTCCCAGAGAACAGAATAGAAGCACGGACTGTCTTTTTTGCTATTTTTTTTAAATGATTTAGCACTTGTAAATACTGGCTGATTGACAGCATTAGATATTAACTCTGGGCATGCACAGTTCAGGCATATCCTCAATTGCGGAGCTGAATTTTATGGGGACTTTCAATCATGTTGGTTTTCTTCCTAACAGCACTTTAATACTTGGGGTGGGACGTGGAGGGGGGAGAGAGTTGTGAGTATTAATACTCCTAGAGCCAGTGTGACGGAAAAGCTTTCCTGTCACACACCTCCAATAACCCCTTTCTATGAAGGGAACGGGAGCCTGCATTATCGTCGGCTATTTCAGCTATCTGGTCACTAGCTTTAAAATACATTTATTTTGAGATCCATGCTAAACTTCCAAATAAACTGCAGTTCAAATGGAACCAATAGCCAGAAACTAGGCACCAAAGGCAGTCAAATAATAGCTGCCTCTGCAGGTCACTGAATACAGCAAAATGTAACAAAATAGCACCTGGAGACAATACAATGCCATAAGAGCATAAGAAGAAAAATAACCTAATTACTTTTGCCTTCTGACAAAATCAGAGTCATATTGTTCTCTGCTGAAAAGTATTAAATACGGAATTTTGACCTCTCTCTCTCAAAATATTTTGAAGAATTTCTAGGTGTGCTACATTTTTAGATTGACAATAATACAATACCAGCAAAATATCCATCCTAATGAACCATTTCCAAACACTAGGGTTTGGATTTTTCAAAAGCACTCCATGGTAGTCTAATTCTGCTCCCATTGAAGTCAATACTGTTCACTTCAGTGGGAGCAGAGTTAGCCCAAAACTGAGTGCTTTTGAAAACGTCATCCCAAAAACCAACACTAAATAGTACAAGAGGTTGGAATGCTGCTGACCACACCTATGTAAAAAGGGAGGTTATTTCCTTTGGCATATTGCCCGGTACATGTGTTTATAGGACAAGCCACCTGAGCAAAAGCCAAAATAAGCTCTCATGAAAAAGCAATACAATCAGTTTTACACAAGAAAATTATCAGCTAAACAAGAATTTCTGAGAAATATTGAAGCAGACAACTGCTCTGTGAAATCGGATAACTCTTACCGCCAAAGTATTCTCAATGTCCTGAAGGAGTCTTCCTGAAAAACAAAGTTTCTCTCCCCCTCTACCAATTTCCAGCCCTAGATATCTTTATGTGTCTGTCCTCCCAAACTACTGGGCAAGGGGTAGTTTTGGAAATTAGCCAAGCAGTTTTTCAAATAGTTAATTTCCACCAGACTGATAGCTTATCTAGTTGTTAAAGCAGAAAAGTAGGAGTTATATCTAGATTCAATTCCTGACTGTCAGCAGCTTGCTGCGTGACTTAGGCAAATTACTTATCTTCTGAAATAGATTTTAAAACATTTTGAGTCTCTCTGATGAAAGCCACCAAGATTATTATATCAACAGATAAAAATGGGAAATACCCAATCCTTATTAGTTTGTTACATTAAAAAGTTAAATAGTTAGCTTTTAATCATGAATTTATGACAATCTATTAAGAGTATGAAATCTACAGGTATCGTATTGTGGCTTTAAATGGGAAGATAATATTTGTAGTATAATGCATACACAACACAAGCAATTAGTATATTCATGAGGGCATAGAACCCTGTATTGAGGAAACCAAGGTAGAATGCCTGGAGTTTTAAAGATTTGGAGGTAGAGGTGGTAGGTGGACAAGAAATGGAAGGCCGTTTCAAGATTACGGAATCGCATGAGAGAGTGAAAAGTTATACATAAGAAAGGAAACGGGGGAGGGGGCAGTAAACAGAGCTAAATCAGAGAAGATGGGGACGAGGAAGAAATGAGCCCAGAGACTGTAGATGGAATGAGTCTGGGCAGAACCATAAATGTGATGCTTGAATTTGCTGTGATAAAACATGGTGGGAAGAAGACATGATCAAACAGATAAAAGATGACTGCAGCAGCACCATTTTCTATGGAGAGGTGAGATGACAGATGGCCAGGTTTGGCTGAGGGTTTTAGCAATAAGCATAAAGAGGAAGAATACAGTTCTTGGTGGTGAGAAAGGGGGGAAAGCAACAGGATGTAATGAAAGCCTGGCTATGAAGAAAAGAGAGAAGAATCACAATGAGATTATGCACCTAGGGCATAATGAAGGCATGGAGCTGCAAAGAGTGTAAAGAAGGGAGAAAGCAGACAGCGATTTGGAGGAAAGATGATAAATTCATTATTCTGAGTATAATAAACTTGATATGGTGACAAGGGGATCCAGGAGGAAGTGTTGTTCAGAGTTGCAAGACTCTAGCCTCTCAAGGAGTACAGCATTAGATAACCTTACATAATAGAGCTATTGTATAGAATTTTAAGATGAGCTGTTACATTAGTGTGGTGAATTTCTGTGAACAGTTCCATTGACTTAGTCAGGTAGTATCCTGAGATGAACTACCGTCATACGGTACCGTAATTTAAAAGATAACATGCCACTAGCAGTAGCACACCATGTTCATTTAGCTATCAGTCATAGTTACGCTTTCTTATGTTCCTAAATTATATTGTTTTAATGTGGTTTGGTCATAATCTGTTAATGATATGGTTCAGGACAAAATCATGTTGGTGGTCAGGTTTAAGACAACCAAACCCAGATTAGCTAAGGATTCATGTAACTAGATGTCATGTAGTTGGGATGGATTATCAGACATGCTATTCTAGAGTGAGTAAATTAAGGGGTGTAAATAACTTCTTTTAATACTTAGAAGAAAAATCTGATAATGTTTTCACATTTTTTTTATGCTGCACTGTGTGTTAACATTGGGTTGCTAATGATACATCTGGCATTTCAGGAAACAGCATACTTCATTCAGCAGCAGACAGTGTGACCAGTGCAGTACAGAAGGCAAGTCAGGCTTTGAATGAGCGTGGCGAAAGGTTAGGTCGGGCAGAAGAAAAGACAGAGGATATGAAAAACAGTGCCCAGCAGTTTGCAGAAACTGCACACAAGGTAAGATTCTTAGTGGAATGGGGATCACAGTAGCTCAAAATGGTGTTTCATGTTTGTTGACCCTCCTCTGCAGGAGGTACAAGTTGCTGGGAACTTTTCAATTGATCACCAAGATTCACAAGTGTGTGATTCCTTTGTCTCACAACTGTCCCTCAATGACAGGGAAATTCTGGTTTATAATTTCTCTCTCCTATGCAATAGAGCTGGTGTTCTAATGCTTCCCTTGACTAGTTGTAACTTCCATGTTACAAAATCGAAACAAAAATGTTTAAGTATTTATTTCATCCCCATTCCATGCACACATCTTTCAAGCTAATGTCCCGAGATTTATCCTGAGAGTAACCAATATTAGTTGCTATAGTACGAGGGTTACTTTGTTGATGAGCAAATGAAAAAGGAACTGATTTTATAATCTTAATGTCCATTTTATGATAAGGTGAACATCAGAGGAGTTGCAAATGGTATCTCAGCAATATCTTTTAGTCTCTTTCATATTTCAGTCTAAAACTGAGATGGGAAAAGAATAAGTTTTCATTCTGATTTTAAAAAATGACTTCTTGTTGCTGGAGATATGATTTCCCTGCAAACTAGAAAGGGCTTATCTCTTATAGTGCTGCCTACAGAGACCCTGTGCTGTTTGTAGATGATGGAGAGTCACTGCTGAAGAGTACACATTTGTTAATCTGGCAGTTTCTGGTCTAATTCTCTGATCTGGCAGTTTCTCCGGCTCCCGGTCTAGCTGTTGTATTCACATCTAGCTATCGGGGCGTAAAATACATTCAAAAGTTCTTCTAGGATGTCACAGGGTGGTAAGATATGACTGCAACTAGTGGCCAAGGCACATGAGAGAAAGAGAAAGGGACTACCTGAGACTGCAGCAGCATCCAATGTTGGAGGGTAATTTTCCAAAATAATTAAAACTTTTACAGAACTTGCAGTTTGAAGAGAAGGTTGGTTTATTTTAATAAGCAAATGCACCTATCCTGATAGATGTTTAGATTTTCATTTCTATACATTAGTGTATAGTAAGAACCCTTCAGGAACCCAGAATTTTTCCTCCCACATCAGTTTTGACTCGTTTCATTTTGCAAATTTTGGTTCACCTTTGTACTAAATATGATAAAATATGTTGCCAAATTTGCCCAATTTCATTTAGTTCCTTGTTTGTGCATGAGTATCATTAGCCATATTAGCATAATTCTGGAAAATGTGTATTCCTCATAGTGTCCCAAAATGTGTCTTGAATTGCAGTGTACATGTTGTAATCTATTTCATTCTCATCCTCATCTTTTTTTCTTAAAGAGTGACTGTAGTTGAGCGGTTCTCTTAAGCAGGGCATCTACTCTACCATTGCTAAGCATTTGATACTGAAGATACTGCACCATCTCACAAAGTACATTATGTGCCAGGGATGAAAGTGTGCAGAAGTCATATGATTGATACTAGCATGGTAACTACTGTGTGTTCATTACCAGAATCAAAAGCGACCTTAGAAATACTGTTGCAAGGGAGTGGGGTAGAAATTGATACTAAGCTGCAGTGTAAAGGAGGCTTTCTGCATTTAGAAATGCCTTCCAAAAGCACAGGGATTGGAGGGTGTCTGTGTTCCAGATGTCAATACTACCTAATAATATACTCTCTAGAGTAATACAGTAAATTACTTGTCAGAATAAAATCCATGTATATGCTTCAGAAACATGGAATTTATGGCCTGGATTTATGGAAGAGTCTCTACTGTTCAAGAGGAGTCACTAGCCCCCTCCTTCCCCCAAGTGCTTTTTCAGGGTTGAGTTGCACGGGTGCCTGCATCGAACTGTGTTTTGAAATTCTAAAATTGGTTTATTGCTCGCTCAGGAGCTGGCAGAGTTCACGAACATTGAATCCACTTCCATAGAAATAGATTTGTCTTTGTGCCAGTTAGCAAGCATTATTGAAGGCAGCGGTCAAGACTCACCAGCGGCAGCACTGTCCTTCCCCCTGGCAGATACTGACTGCTACTCATTTTTATTGTGTTGGAAGCGGATAAAGGAAAGTGACTACTGTAAGTCTTAGCCCACTCCAATTCAAACTGCCATATAGAATTCTGTGAGGGGATCTAATAGGTGTGATTGGTCCCCCCCCCGTGTCTCTCACACACCCCACAATGCATGCATTCACATGCTTCCAAAAAAGAGAGAGATCGAGATTGATATTATAAATATTTGGCCTGACTTCCATCTTTTTTGCCAGTGATCCCTCAACTCTCGCACTGAGATGTCCGACAGACTTACCATCATATGTGGAATCCAAAATGGTGGAAAAGAAGCTTCCCTAAGGGCAAGCTCCATGGTGGCCCACTGAGCATGCCGATGAAGTGAGCTGTAGCTCACGAAAGCTTATGCTCAAATAAATTTGTTAGTCTCTAAGGTGCCACAAGTACTCCTTTTCTTGTTGTACTACAGTATATCCTTTTTTTTTTCTTTTTTTTTTAAACCTACCATGTATGCAGTGGTTAGATGCCAGTAGTACTTCACATTCAATTGCGGCAGTAGGAACAGTAGAGTCTGGGTAGGCATCAGCAGCAGGGTAACTGCTAAGATGAAAGAGAACAGGAAACAGCCAGGAGCTGTGCTGTCCTTCACACTCTTCTCCAACCCATCAATTGCACAGTGTAGGACACAGCCTTAGAGGAAAATAGAATGAAAGGGAGGAAGAACAGACATTTGGTAGCAGGGGAATTAGATGAATTTGGGAGGGAAAGAAGGGGCCCATTATGAGAAGTTGTTGGTTATTTTAATAGAATATCAAGGTTGGAAGGGACCTCAGGAGGTCATCTAGTCCAACCCCCTGCTTATTTTATTTATTTCTATAGCACTAGTGGTATGAGGTGTTTGCAGTTGTCCTTGTTGTAGGCGTATATGTCAAATTGAGACACTGGGAATTTAAGATGTACCGTATGTTTGGGTGACCTGGATGATAGTGTGTCAGGAGGCTGAAATCTGGGCTCCTGTTTTCTCTGCCCCCAGCTGTGGGCACCAGGGAATTGCAACAGCCCTCACTTAGAAAATGGAGAGCTGCAGTTCAGAATTCATCCTCTCAGGCAGGGCATCACTACCCAGTTCCTGCAAGTCTTCCCAAAATCCTCTGGAAGAAAGAGGGGGTTGAAGCCCTGATATTTGCCACATAGAGAAACAAGCAGGGGAAAATATTATTGGAAATGGTTTACATTAAAGGGCACAAATGGTCTTTGAATGGAGACTTCAACAGTTCACCATGACAATTCACATTAAAACTGTCACCGTGGCCTCGAACAAAAGTGATTACCCTCCCGGAATTTGTCGGTCCTTACCACCCTATTTCAGATAACTGGACAACAATATGATAAGTCAGTATATGATTTCAGTTGCAGCCCATTTTAATGAAAATAGCACAGAACCTGCAGTGATGTATCCATCTGTCCTTATCACTCATTGAAAGTGTGCAATGAAATACAAAAAAAAAAAGTCAATTTTTCACTTACTCATCATTTTGCGGTGCCGAATTTGAGACCCCTTAAAGAGGTGGCTTGTTTTTCAGAAGGTAGGTGCTCAGCACTTTCTGAAATCAGGCCTTTTTCAGGTCTGAAGTTGGGTACCAAAAATCACTAGCCATTTGAGAAAATCAGGGCCATTATTTTTTGTTTGTTTATGTAGGTGTATACAAAATATAAAAAGGTCATATCCAGACAACTAAGTATCTTTGTTATATGTTAAAAACACAATAAACACATACAAACATAAATTAAATGCAGTGCAATACAAACATAAATTAAATGCAACCACTTCCTTATGAAACTTAAAATATGAACTGTCTTAAAGCAGGAATTGTGATCAGCCCTTTCAGATATGTACAGCTATTTTTTGGCCCCACAACTCTTGGCAGCTCTTACTGCCATTCATCAACTGATGGATATCCCTACAAGGTTACTTGAACACATTGTGGCAGGTAACACTAAGTGACATTATAAACCCCATCACAGTCAAATGATTTGGTTATATACTGCAGCTTTCTGGGCTTCAGTTCTTGGAAATAAACTCAAATAATCCAGTGCACACAGTAACCTGGGTCCAGAAGGAGTTCCTTGATTTAAAAAAAAAAAAAAAGCATTCACTTTTTTTAGAAGGGAGTTAAGGCACAGACACCTGAAAATATACCATGAAAATCCTGTTGCGGATAGTGTTAAGTTTCCAGCATTTCACTTTTCCATAAGTTCATGTTCTCAGATCAGATACAGACCTGATCATGGTTGGGCTTTTTAGTTCACTGCAACCTGGTTCAGGATTGTTTTGTTATTTAATGGTCTTTGTACATGAATAGTTGCATGTTTCTTAGACTAAATTTAGCAACTCAATGACAATGCATTGAGCAAGTGTTGTTTGCGGTAGTTGTTAATCAGCATTTTAGCACACTGGATGCAGTATTGAATAGCCTACATTATTAGATGAATGCCTAAAAAGTCAATACAAAGTGTATAATGGAATTTCAAGTAGCCTGGTTGGTGTTGCAAATGTTATTCCTGATCTGAATAGGGAAAATTGCCCGCGGCAAGGGAGAGGAAGCAGCATAGGTTTAACCAGAGAAGGGAGAGTCTGAAATCTCTTGTCACAAAAAATCTTGTAATAGCTTCTCAGAAGCTTTTCTTTCTTTCAAGCCCACCATCTCCATAGTTTCCTTCAGTGTTTGGAGTGGAAGAGTTTGGAATAGCATAGGTTAATCATTTTAAAATTAATACATTTATGTTTACGGCAGCCTCCAACCAAAGTTGTCAGGATGTTGTAGAATAGAACAAAACAAAATAAAGGCTGAATGGGACCAGTAGCAAGGAACTGAGCAAGGGAGAAGTGAAGGAGCAAACAGAAACTGGCAGTTCTGTAGTTCCTATAGTGAGTGATGGTGCACTTTGCATTCGAATGTGTATTAGAAAAACAGATCTGTCAGGCTTAGGAGCAAGGCAATATCACTCAGTCATATCCTAGTGGCTCCTACTGTTCTATTTTTAAAATACCATTTATTGCCCAGGAATACTGTAGAATTTCTAGCCTCTCAAAACTATTCTCAGGAGCTACACCTACAGTCTATGTTGTATTTGCTTAGTACAGTAAAACCTGCAGTAAAGGGCCTTCTTTGATAAGCAACCCCTTATCTTACACTCCCCCATTAAAATATCACCACATGCTTTCCACTACACCTTCCCTTGACTTCTACCCACAACTACCTCGACATTTCTGGTCCACTTATATGAAGGTGTAAACAGGTTTCACTAGTACATGAAGACTGTATGTGTACGTATAATATTAAAATGTCTGCTAAACACGTGAACAATCATTTTAAAGAGCTAAAAACATTTCTCAAAGCACTACAATATCTTGTAATTTAAGTGATTTCGTGTCCTGTCTGCTTAGAACTTTGTCAAATCCACAAATGAAGACCTACTGTGGACAAAAAGGCAGCTGTATTTGTTTCCCACAGGCCCCATAAGGAAAATCCCATTCTGGGAATCACAGAACTAAAACATGCAATATAGATTCACGTTAAATATTTTTCTTTTGCGTGCGGACAGTATGCTTGGTATTACACGGCTCAAAGATACTAGTATGATATTCAAAGCTAGAAGAAAGAGTGTGTGTGTGTTGTGTGTGAGAGAGAGAGAGGTAGAAGGGAAAGTCACCCACAACACAAAGCTTTGCCAGAAAAAAAAATTCTGGAGAACTTCCAGTCCTCATTTTCTAGCCAGTCACTTTCACTTGCTTTCACCCACTATTGTAGCTAAATGCATCTTCTGCAAAGGCTGTCTGTTTGATCCCTGTTTGGAAGTAATGCTGGAATTAGATGGCTAAAAGTTTGTGCTGCTCAAGCTTTACTGAGTGATACACATCATGGAAGACCTCATGCTTGAATTAATATGATCCACTGTGCTTTGCTAAATGTCCTGGCTGTCAGTGGCATGTCTTGACAGTGACACAGATGTTTGGTGGGTGATGGTTAGGGAGTTGGCAAACTTGATAAATGACGGGGTTATTTACAATAGAATTTATTTTCATTTTAATTAAGGCAAAGCAGAGAAAAAGTGCTTCTGGTTCACATTCAAGAAGGTAAATAAATGAAGCCTCTTCCCAGAATAAATTAGTGATTTCAGTTAAATAAAATGGGTTGATCATTTTTCACTTCTGCTTTTTCTGTAAAGGGCAGAGCTCCGGCACTGAACTACTACCCCAAATCTTTTCTTGGGTATTGGACAAATGCATTAGTCCTCCAGTTCTGCAGCATATCTTGGGTCATCGATATCTGCTGCTGGCATTTTGGGTGGCAACAAGAAGAAATAGCATGGCTGCTTCAGCTCTGCTAGCAATCAGAGAGATAATCTGGCCTTTCTCTCCATCAGTGGCCGGAAGCATGGAGTGGATGCCAGAGACGGTGCCTACTCTACTTACTTCTGCTCTGGAATATATGAGGGAGAGCATGAAGGAAAGCCACTGGTCACGGGAGAATGCCCCTGCTTAGAAAAGGGCACCATCACAAGCTGCTCTAATACCAGTTGCACTGCGTGACCCAAATCAGTTATTTGTAACCAGCTTTCTTTCAATATTAATTATACTGAAGCAGAACTTGCTTTAAAATAAGTAAAGGTTATGAATGAATTAAAATTCCCCGCAAAGAACAGGAAAGATGCTTATTAAAATTCTGCAGATAATCTCATCACTTCACGTGGTCTGGTGGTAATGTGTAGAGCAGCTAACCCAGGTGACCTACTGGCTCGTAGATGCTCGATTGCTTTGGTTTTTTCTAATTGGCAAAAAGTTCTTGGGTTTGTTTCTGATGGGCTTTTATGTAATGGAGAAGTAAATTTGTCATTTTTTGTTCATGTTTAATTATTAAACACTTCGGAATAGTTGGACAATCAATACACAGGGCTGAGTCATTGTTATAAAGAATTAAGTGATTTTTTTTTTAAATTCCTGCATATTTCAGTATTGCAAAACAAATGAGAAAAGTAGGAATCTAATTATGCAGTGTTTTAATGGTAAAATAATGCTTCTTTGGCAGAATACTGATAATGAACATCACTGTTCATTAACTTTAGAAGAAACAAGCACCAAATTAACATTTGCAAACATTTGTTGCAGCCAATTAAAGTCTCCATTTAGGATGCTTTTCCTGGCAGCATTCTCTAGGCGTAGGCGCCATTTCAAAGAAATGGCTCACATATTTGTATTATTTTAAACTTGTAATTAATTTCACCATTAATATGCTATGACTACATACTGGCGTATTTCACAGCTATATATTTATACGACTAATCATTATTATACTTACATGTCAAATTAATTTAAGAAATAAGATTGTGTGAATATTGGGGTATAAGGAATTGGAATAATCTTTCTGGAATCTTAAAGTACAGCTTAGTCACCTGTTCAAAGTCTATGTCAGAAGACAAATTACTGGTGGAACTAATAGATTTTTGTTTTGTTTTTTTACTGTTTCTCACCTGTAAAGTAGCTCTAGCTGATTGGTTCTCAACCTTTTTAATGCCAAGGGATCCCCTTTTCCATACTGTGAGCCCCAAACCCCCCGGGGCTCCGTCTCGTATGTCCGTAGTCTAGTTGGGAACCTGGAACTATTGATACTAGATAGCAAGAGCTTGCTATCTAAGCCACTTAAAGAAATGTACTTCTCCTAAATGATTATTCATGATGCTTCCAGAAAAGATAGTGGCCATTGACACTGCTTTCTTATGAACATTTTCCAGTAAATTGCTACTTCATTTAAAAACAAAAAAAAAAAAAAAACTCCTCCATCTCTGTGGGCACTTTAAATCACCGCCCGAGCTGACTCTGCTACCCAAGGGCTCTTGCAGCTGGGCCGTGGTGGCAATTTAAAGGGCCCGGGGCTCCAGCCGCTGCCTGGAGCCCCAGGCCCTTTAAATCGCCAGCCTGGGGAAGCTGGTCTGGTATGGCATGGCGTACCGGCTCTTGCCAGCTTGCGTTCACCTCTGAGTACATATATCTGTGAAACAGCTTGACCAAAAGACTAATTTGTTTTGACTAGTTAAGCCTCAGGCCTTAGTGGTCTTTTACAGGAAACCTCTATTGGATTGGAGGAGAAATGTGTGTGACCCCCAGCTCAGACTAGTGAGTCTCTGCTCCTTCTCCCTTCACAGAGAACTGATGCATGGAGCCCCCATAGAGCTGGTTCTATGAAAGCAGCCAAATCCCTTCCCCACTGAATAGGAGAATGGAGAACAAGGAAAGGCTAATCTGGGCCAAAACTTGGATCTCGTTTCAGGTCTGGCTTTCAACAACCTTTCCACTGGAAAATAGTTTATTTGGAGGATTCCATGTACAGCCCATCTCTAATCCAGATTAGTTGCTTTAGCCAGGAATGGCTATAATTGCAAATAGTGTAACTTTTTCTCTCTCGTTCTTTTTCAGCTTGCCATGAAGCACAAATGTTGAGATACTGCCTAACACAGAGATCTTCCCAAGAGGAACTGAAAAGCTAGGTTTCAGCAGTTTTTACTGGAGATCCAAACTTTCACCTGCTTTATCCTTCCAACTCAGTGAAGATGCGTTAACCAGTTAACATACAGGAAAAATGTTGCATTCCCACATTTTTATGGTAATTTCACTAAGCAATGCTGCTGTATCTCCAACCTTTATTTTGTATTTAAGTTATTGTAGGTGTTTTTAAAAAACATGGAAACTGGACCAAATGAGAAACTGATCAAGATAAGCACCATCTTATTTTTTCTGGTGTCACACAGGAAGAAGTATTAAATTGGCTACAAGAGGTGTTCCTGTAAAGAAATAAAATCCCAAACAATGGTTACATATTTTTTCCCTTTTGTATAGTGCTAGTGGAATTTGAACGTTGGAATTATGCATCCCAGATGATAATCCTGTAGTGGAAAGCAGACTGATTTGTTATGTGAAACAGCAGACCTGATCATTTCTGCCACTCAGTAGGAATTTTTGTACCAGCATTCAGAAGTGCAAATTTGACTTTCAGATGTGACCCTGCTATCCATGCTGCCTTTTGAAAACATCCTGTTGTACTTTCCAGATTGATTTTTGGATTGTATAATAAAATATAAAGAATGTAACCTTGAGATTTTAAGATCTAAGAAAAATCTGATATTTAAATCTGTACACACAAAATGGTTGTGCCCCATTACCACAGTCTGGAATTTAGCAGTCTTTGCGTGGTTTCTTTTTAACTATGATTTCTCTGAATAGGGCCTTTATAAATGAAAGTTTGAAAACAAACTTTCCAAGCTACCAGTTTTTCATAAACTTTACACAGAAAATATTGTTAACATCAAATAGCCTGGAAAAATACCTTTCCATTGCAGATTGATTAACTATTTTTGATCTATTGTCTTCCTTAACAGACATCTGTTTCCCTCATTTTCCTTCAGAAATTCTCAAGTTATTTATTCATAGGATTAAAATGTGAAGCCAGTACAAGAAGTTATACTTGATTTTACCAAGAGTACGCAAACATAAAATGCTAGCTGAGCTTTCAGCCTTCAGCTGTAGTACATTGGTCCTAAGCTGCATGCATCTTCAACATTTTCTGTTCCCTTCTTACTGATGGGCCAGACAGCCAGTGTAATCTGAATATACCGTAGTATTCATTGTCAATGCAGAATAAGATTTTGCATTATTAATGACATTTTAAAGAGCTTAGAAACTAATAATAAGGTAGTATGTGGGGTGGAGGGAAGAAAGAGAAAAGTAACTAAGAAGGAAATAATAACTCTTGGAAATATCGATATTACAAAAAGGGGACTGAATTTACTTGTGAAGAAATTCTAAGTCAACCTACAGAAGTCATCTAGTGAAATGTGTAGTATATAAGTGTATATTTTTAATTATGCTATTTTGTACGAAGTTTTTTAATTGCATAGTGGAAGTTGTTTAGAGGAGGGAGCATGTTTGTCATCTGTTTAGCACTGTAGGATCACATCAAGGACAACCTTGAGAACTGTCACATCCCAAGCTGCCAGCTGGGAAAGAATTTGGCCAGACATAAGCTGCAAGTCAGAACAGGGCCACTAAAGCGTGAGGCCCCAAGCACCACTTGAGCTACTTATGACTAATGCTTGCCTTGAAAGAATCTGTAGCATCACAAGCACAATAGGAAACATTTTAATAAATAGGGCTCTTACTAGAGACCAGCAAGGAAAAAAGCAGTCTCATATTGGGAATTAAACAAAACAAAACGTAAGGTTAGTTCTGGGGTTTTTTTAAATGTGTCATTAGAATCTTTTTCAGATGTACAGTACAGTTCTGACAGCAAAGCAGATGTCTTTATCCATTCCCCTCTCTTAGAGTACGTTTAACCTGCAATAAAACATTTGCAGCTGGCCCATGTCAGCTGACTCGAGTTTGCAGGGCTCAGGTTGTGGGGTTATACAGCTGCAGTGTAGACTTTCAAGCTCGGTCTGGCGCCTGAGCCCTGGGACACCACAAGCAGGCACGAACCCAGAGACTAGGCTCCAGCCTGAGCCCAAATGTCTACACTGCAATTTTATAGCCCCACAGCTATTCTTACTTTTTCTTTTTTTTTTTAAACTGTACTCTCAAGGATTTTGCTACCTGATGAAATTGAGGTCATGAGTAGTCAGTATGAAAACGAGAGTCATATGCTAATGAAAATTCAGTAGTGAGAACTACAACCATAAAAGTAGTTCTACTAAAGAAGAGAGAGAATAGGATTTGAATTGTTGCTACCTAGCTTTTACTCAGAGGTTATAAATAATTTAGAAGAGACGTTTAAACCCCAGATCAGATATACTTGGGGAGGCACACTGCTAAATTCCAGATCCCTTTTTCACAGGTTAACCTGTTGTTCTTTAATATGTATGTTTTAGTACCATTAACTGGTTTTCATAGTTGAGTTTAAATAACTCACTGCATTCAAGAAAGGAAAAGAGATTTATTTGCATTCTGTTACATTCCTGGTATTCAGTAAACTACTAGATGTAATGGCACTTAAGAAGATTTCAAGAAAGTGTGCTGACATCCCATACTGCAGATAAACTTTACCACGTTACACTTCCCTCCTGGAACTTAGCTGTAGTATACAACACTAGTATTAGATATTTGTGTACATAAAATATACAGTAATTCAGGTTAATGTTTCATATTAAAGAATGTATTTGTAAAATGTAACAAGATCAGTAGTTTCCTTATTACATTACCTTTTTAAAGTTCTGCAAAGAATAAAGATCATGTATTGTTGGACTTGAGACTGGTGTACTGCAAAATCTGTCTTAAAGGCTACTTTTGTGGCTAGCAAAAATAGTGCATTCACGTGACAATATTAACAAAATGTGCTCTCTAAACAAGTGATCTTAAAGGTAGGGTTTGCTATTATATGCCAAAATCCATACTTGCAGATATATGTTGTAATTAATTCCTCAGAAGTTCTCAAAAATGTAAAAATAATTTTGTGCCATTTTGAAAAAAGTGGGACCTGCTCTGTTGATTGATTGTTGCAAACCCTACTTTTGTCATTAAACATTTTAACTGTAACAAAAAAAAAAATGTCCTGGATTATTTGGTGTGTTGTTTTTTGTAGTGGAGATGGGGGGGTTGGTTTTTGTTTTTTTCTTTTCTCCTTTCTTCTAGAAAAGAGGTGGTTGTTTACTAATTAAAAAGAAAAATCCAAGTTTTCTCTGTACTATGATCAATAGTTTGCTCTCAAAAGAATATGGTGGTCTATTGGGAAAAACAGTGAAAACTATTTGAAAATATTTTTGTGCCATTCTAGCCTTAAGCATTCTTCTGCTGCATAAAAACTGCTATTGAGCACATGAACACAAATGTAAGATAATTTTCTACCTAAATGTTGCACTGCTCAGAGAAGTCCATGTTTCTATTTCACTTCAGTTTTGTTGCAGAACATTTACTCTCTCCTTCACGTGACTGACTATTACTGTACAAGTATGATTGTATTACATAATAAACACTCTTTAAAGCCAGTTTCTCTCACACTTGAGGGGAAAGATACTGCTCAATGCAAATCATTCCATTGATTTCAGTGAAGCTACTTGAGGAATAAGGTATTAATCAATATGTATCAGAATCAGTTACCTTCCCCCCCCCCTTATTTTTTAATTAAAAATTTTACATTTATCAATACCCAACTAGGAACATCACCTCAAAAATCTCTTTATTTGCTAATATAGCTGCATACCTATATTCAGTGGAAAAGTAAAATCAAGTAAAATTTACATCCATTCAAAATGAAGTTTAAAATAATAAGTTGTATCTAAATGGATAATACTGTGAAAGAGTAACTCACACCATCTCCTTTGAGAAAGTCATAAATACTTACTGGAAGGGAATTCCAATCTAGTGATCTATGAGGAAGAAGCCAACCAATTACGAACCTTTCCAGAGGCTACCTACTTAGCGATAGTTTTCCCCAGTTCCCCTGCTTTTCCTCCTCCTTCCCTTCCCCTCCGCCCACCCCCAGACTATGCCCCACAGTTCTGGGTTCAAGTACTGTGTTTCGTACTCTCACTCATTTCCTGTGAACAATGAGCACCAATGTTGTCTCGCTGCCTCAGGGAAGCCAATATCGCTGCTTACTGTGCCATCTGTAAGGTTTCCCACTGTGGACTTGAGAAGCATGAGAACTTCACCTCAGGAGGAGGCTATGAGGCCATGCACACACTCGGATCCTAAGTGCACTGGCCATCGCCAGCAGTGAGTGCTCCTCCAAGCACCTCCCGCACCTTGGATCCAGCAGTCCCGAACAAGCTCAGGCACGAGAGTAGGAAGCACTCTCATGGGCATAGAAGCAAGTCCTTATCAAGGGCTGCTTCTAAGAGCAACATTTCCTACCTGAGCCATTTCAGGTCAGGTGAGATGTCGCGTGCCGACACCACTGCACTGGTTCCTCAGGCAGAGAGGAAAAAGGATCCAAGAGCACCATCGTGGGACCTGGTTCCTGCTTGATCTGTGCCATCCCCTGCATGTGCACCGCCAGTCCCACCGCCGCTTCCACAGCCTTCACTGCAGCCGGCTCTGTGGACTCCACCTCGGTCTTCAGCTGCCTCCAAGGACACTCCCTGGACCCTCCAGCCATCTGGAGCCCCTTCTGTCCACACAGGAACTGGGGCTGTCCTACCCATCTTTGCTGTTGCTCTCCAGCCCCACTCTGCCAGACGAGCTGCTCCTGCCGGAGAAGACCATACCAACAGCACACCGTGGTCTGTGCTGCTGGCTCCCCCGCTTCTGGAGACATCTTTGGACTCTAAGGAGTTTTCTGAAATGGAGCCCACCTTCTCCTCTGTGTTCAGACGGAAGTATCACTTCCACTCCCCCCACCTTATCTGGCCGCTTATAACATGGCATTGATGGTGTGATACTGATACCCCGGGGCCCGCAGCACCCCCAGATCCCTCCCCGTTGGCCATGTTGGACATCCTGGGACCCATACCGCCCTCGGTACCCACCCTTTCAGGCCTCCTACCAGTCTTTCCCAGCTCCTCCACTGGCACCAACAGGCCCTTAAGAGGCGGCAGAGGCAGGGGTGCTGGAACTTGTGATGCTGGGAGTGCTGCCGCACCCCCTGACTTGAATTGGTTTCCATCATAGAATCATAGAACTAGAAGCGACCGCAAGAGGTCATCTAGTCCAGTCCCTTGCACTCAAGGCAGGACTAAGTATTGTCTAGGCCATCCCTGTCAGGTGTTTGTCCAGCCGGCTCTTAAAAATCCCCAATGATGGAGATTCCACAACCTCCCTAGGCAATTTATTCCAGTGTTTAACCACTCTGACAGTTAGGAAGTTTTTCCTAATGTCCAACCTAAACCGCCCTAGCTGTAATTTAAGCCCATTGCTTCTTGTCCTGTCCTCAGAGGTTAAGAACAACAATTTTTCTCCCTCCTCCTTGTAACAATAGTTTATGTACTTGAAAACTGTTATCATGTCCCCTCTCAGTCTTCTCTTCTCCAGACTAAACAAACCCAATTTTTCAATCTTCCCTCATAAGTCATGTTTTCTAGACCATTAATCATTTTTGTTGCTCTTCTCTGTACCTTCTCCAATTTGTCCACATCTTTCCTGAAATGTGGCACCCAGAACTGAACACAATACTCCAGTTGAGGCCTAATCAGCACGGAGTAGAGCGGAAGAATTACTTCTCGTGTCTTGCTTACAATACTCCTGCTAATACATCCCAGAATGATGTTTGCTTTTTTTGCAACAGTGTTACACTGTTGACTCATATTTAGCTTGTGATCCACTATGACCCCTGATCCCTTTCCACAATACTCCTTCCTAGGCAGTCATTTCCCATTTTGTATGTATGCAACTGATTGTTCCTTCCTAAGTGGAGTACTTTGCATGTACAGGGTTTAGCGGCTTTCAGCACCCCCACTATAAAAATTGTTCCAATGCCACTGGGTAGAGATCAAGCTGGTACTGCTGGTTCTGCCAGTCCCTACAGCCGCTTCCTGCTTTCTCTATGAAGTGCTTATTCCTGCCTCCATGTCTCCCACTGTTGACCACAGGCAGTATCAGGACCTATTACAAAGGGTGGCAACAAACCACCACTAGAAGAGGTGCAAGATCAACAGCACCAGCTGCTAAACATCCTCCAGCCCAGGGACCCTCAAGGATGGCAATCCCCATTAATGATGCCATCCTCCAGTCCACACAAGCAATGTGGCACATCCCGACCTCCTGTATCCCCACGCGAACACAAGCATAATGGTGCTACTTTGTGCAAGCTAAAGGGGCGGACTTTTTGTTTTCCCACCCACCCTCCAGGTCCCTGGTGGTGCACATGGCCATGGAGGGGGCATACCAACAGACTGGGCGGCGAAAAGGCTACAACTTTTGGTGAAATTTGCAATTTCACATCACCAGCTACCAGGCTTGGCTGGTCAAATATGATTTTAACACTTCCATCCAGCTGGCAGAGATCCAAGACAAACTACTCCCATACCAGCTAAAACACTTCCAGACACTGGTGGATGAAGGGCGCTTCCTAGCCAAGGTCTGCCTCCAAGTGGCAGTCGATGTGGATGACACATCCTCGTGCTCACTTGTGACGGGCATTGTCATACACCATGACTCCTGACTGCAGTTCTCTGGCTTCTCTCAAATGACCATAGAGGACCTCCCTTTTAACAAGGACAAATTATTTTATTCTTAGACTGATGAGTCTCGTCATTTGTTAAAGGACTCGAGGGCCACACTGCGCTTTCTGGGTTTCTATACCCCAGCCCCACACCGCAAACAACAACGCCAACAATGTCACTTTCAGCTGTATATGCCCTACCCACCGTATTACCACAGGCACCAGGAACCCCTATGGAGACCCCGGCATCAGTAACCCACAATCTGTGCCGCTTCCTTGACCTCATCTACCAACAATGCAAGGCAGAGTTTTGAAATGTCGGTGGAGCTCTGCGAACCCTCCCCATTGCCACCCAGGGCCCCACATGTCATCTTTGGGGGCTATCTTGCCCTGTTTCCCCACAATAGGGGCAAGATCACCACTATTGGGTAGTGGAGATCATCCACTACAGATACTCCATGGAATTTCTTTAGTTTCCCCTGCACAGCCCCTTCCCCACCCCTTTCCCAGACATTTCCAGGGGACCCTACACATCAATGCCTTCTCCAACAAGAGGCTGAAGCTTTTCTTGCCAAGGATGCTATAGAGACCCTGGCACTTCCCTATGTGGGCAGAGGCTTCTATTCTCCATACTTCCTCATCTCCAAGAAGGGCAGAGGGCGCCACCCCATTCTCGACCTTCGCCTACTAAATACCTCCCACCAGTCGGCTTCACAATGCTGATGGCCCTCATGATGAACCTCCAGCATGCACCACAGTCCACCATTGCCTCTCCCTCCTTGACCATATGGCAGCCTGCACATTCGTGACTCCACATGCACATTTACACACGCATTGCCTACAGCTCTGGCTCCTTTCTGTTTACAGTCCCCACAGAGACCATCTTATGGCCAGGGTCATGGTTCCCCAGACAGTTCAGGCCCCCCTCACCTGGTGGACCCACCCTTCCAATGTTATGGTCAGTAACCCTTTCATCTCCACCACCCCACACATCACCATCACAACAGATGCCTCTCTTGTGGACTGTGGGGCACACAGTCTCACAACTCAGGGCATTTGGGTGCCATGAGAGGCCAGACTGCACATCAGTGTTCTGGAGCTCCAAACAGTTCAGCTAGCCTGCCAAGCATTTCTTCCTCTGATCCAATCACA